TTGTTTTTTTTTTTTTATTTATATATTGGTGTACAAGTGCTTACCAGTATTAAGCGGGCCAGTCGTTTTAGACTACCTTCCCACTATTGATTCAGATATTGATATTTTTTATATCTATGCAACACTCTAAATATTACATATGTATATAAAATTATGTCAACGTAATGAAAGTCTTAGGACAGGGGTTTTTGTTTATATGTTTGATATATTTTTTCAATACATATCTATATAAATATAAATAATAAAGATTCGAATTCGATAATATTTAAAAATTTGCAAAAATCGATGAACATACTTTAAAAAACATATCATCATACATACAAAACAAAGCTGATTTTTTTATAAAAATACGGCTCACAGTGTAGCCAAGGTGTTCTATTATAATAAATGAAAAAAAAAATGAAAATATCTTTATTCAAGTAGGCTACTACAAGCACTTTGGAATGGTCCAAATATTTTTTTTTCCCCAACCACATGTTCAGGGCGTCTTTTAGCTGACAAGAAGAACAAGCGAAAGAAACTTACCGGCTCTTTATCATAAGTAATGACATTTACATAAATCATGTCATTACCAAAATAATATGTATTATCACAATAATGAATACAACTATCAAAGTCTGTAGGACATAGATTGAACATATAATTAGTCTTTATAGAACAAAGCGAAGGCTATTTATTAATTCTATGCATTGCGATCCTTAAAATAATCATCAACTTTATAATAGCCTTTACTCATAAATATGTTCTTTGCATGAATTTTAAATTTATTTATGAGTAGGTCAACTACATTTTGTGGAACTTTATTGAACATAGCAATGCATTTACTCAGAAATGATCCTTTGGTTTTCTGAAGTTGAATCGGCAAGTTTATTTTTATTTCTTGTGTTAAGATTATGAACACTAATTTTTGTGAAGGAATCGTAATGTTTTCTTGCGTACATAATATTTTTATAGATGTATTGAGAGGCAACGGTCAAAATATTTATTTCTTTAAATATTTCTCTAGACCGTAAATTATATATAACGCGGACAGCTCTCTTTTGTAGAATAAAAATATTTCGAATGCTAGCCGCAGAACCCCACAACAATAGACCATACTTCATTGCACTATGAAAATAACTAAAATATACCAATCTTGCCGTTTCAACATTTGTCAAGAGTCTAATTTCCTTAACAGCAAACGCTGCAGAACTCCGTCTACTTGACAAATTATCAATATGAGGATCCCATTGCAGTCGGGAATCTAGTGTAATACCATGGAACTTTGTCGATTCCACCAACTCAACTTTTTCACTATTAACATTTATAACTATAAGTGTATTAACATGCCTCACATTAGGTAATGCAAACTTTATGCATTTCATTTTATTTGAATTAAGCTTTAAATTATTACTATCAAACCACTGTAGAACATTGTAGAGAGCATCATTTACATCGTCAACACAATCATTACCCCTCTTAACTTTAAACACTAAAGAGGTGTCATCAGCAAATAATACTGTCTCGCACAAATTCTTTGTAAAGTGAGGAAGATCGTTAATAGGTATAAATTAGAAAAAGCAATGGTCCTAATATCGATCCCTGAGGTACACCCATAGTAATTTTTACTTCATTAATTACTACTTTTTGAATTCTAGCAGAAATATATGATTTTATTAGATTAAGTGAATATACAGCGTGTTTGGTAATACCTGTATAATCCCGAATATGGCACATACGGTATGATGAATAGAACCCAGAAAAATGATAACTAAGTCTGAAACCCAGCACATGTCCTAAATATTCAGCTTTTTTCTTCGAAGTAAAACTGTACGCTGACAACCCTAAAAACAGCTGTTGTGTTGTATTTGGTCATCGACTCCATGTGCTGAACTAGTTTAAAATATAACAGAAGTTAAATAAATCTAAAGATAAATGCCCTAGAATAAATATGCATCCGAGAGTAATTAATTATTTCCAAACAAAGAAAAAGTTAGTAGTAAATGACTTTTAACCATAAAAAAATACTAATCTTGTGATTAACGGTGTTTCAAAAACTATTATTAAGGAAACTTCTCTAATAATACAGTCAAAATAAAAAATAAATTGCAAATACTTTGATTGAAGTTCAATATCTGCACCATTGCTCACATTAATCTATGCAAGAAGGAGCGACAGAGACATAAAATCGACGACGATGTGTATTGAGAAACTCGGTTTCTGATGTGTCAGTAAGGTTCTGTAGATTTGAAGTTTTGTTATTTTTTTCATAAAGCTGTGTTATTTTTACGAAACAATAAAATACGGACTTACACAATGATATTAATAATCTAAGTATCTCGCTTATTCTTAGTTTAAATGATAATTAAATGTAATGGAATGTAATGTAATGGTTAGTTGTAATGGAAAGGTCTAATAATAAATAATATTTCTTTTCTTTTCTAATTTAATCAATAATTTTTATGCCTTATAATTTTGTTAATGAATTGGTCTTAAATTAGGTAACCAGTTTTAATATTATGGCCTTTTTTTCTTTTGTAACCGTGAAAAGCGTAAATAAAATTGTAATAATAAGTAAACAGCCTAATTATCAATTTCGTCAGTAAAAAATGGTATGATAAGTTACTTTGAAATTTCATTGTTTAATTCAATAATAAAATAACGATTTTTTGTTAGATAGGTTACGTAACACAGAATTTGATGACGCGGGACCCTAAATCGGTGCATTTTTGATTTAGGTACATTGGTGTTCGAGTTGCAATAATAATAACCTATGTAGTTTTGGTCATCGCGTCAGTCGTGTCCGTGACTTTCATCGGCGTACTTGTGAGTTTTCAGAATTTAGAAGGTCAACTTACGTTTTCGATCTTTCGGGACTTTTGGTTTGTTTTTCATTCTCGTTCTGTTTACCTGTGTGTTATGTTTGTGTGCGGTCAGTGCAATGAATTCGTACTCAAATGCCTAATATTACGAGATGATAATGTGTGGCGGTGCTTGTGACGGTAATCTTGCTGCTGCTCGGCGGCGTTATGACGAGCGCCACGTGTCAGGAAGATCTGAAAACCATCGACGTCTTCCTTCTTACCGGTGATTCGCGGCACTTGTGAATCGGTTACATACAACTGGTTCATTCCATAGTGTGCCACATGTAGGCCGGCCGAACACCTATTCCATCGAGACAGAGGATATGATTTTACGTCGAGAGTAACACGACACGGTCTATGTCGAGTCGAATGGAGATGTGTGTTTTATGCGGTGGTCGGCATGTCGAGACCCTGGACTGATAAAGTGGATGTGAAGTGTAGGTAATGTTGACAAGTGAAAGCTGAAAGAGTGATTAAAAACGCTGTAAGTATGTACCTGTTTAATCTTAAATTGTTTTAATTACAAGTAAACTCATACGTAGTCGAGTGCGCGCGTCGGCGACATCAAAATGTATTCTAGTAAACGAGAGAGTGAGAGGTAATGAGAGAGAGAGAGAGAGAGAGAAAGAGCGAGTACGCCGGGACGGCACGTATATGCTTACAGGGTTGTAGCATAGTAATTGAAAACAAATTGTTCAAATATTTGTATGAAAATATCAATTTACGTGAAATTGTTTTTTGACATATCAATTGTGTTCTTTGTGCTAGGTTGTATAGCCATGTTTCGGGATTATACAGGTATTACCAAACACGCTGTAGTTTGCGATTGCAAGTAAAATAACTTTATTCATCTGATTGACTGGCATGTTAATATTTTTTATACAGTCTGTGACTTCTATAAGTAATTTACTACCTACTGTCAGCAGGAAAAGGGGGCTTTCACTTCAAAGCCAGAATTATTCGAAAAAATAAATAAAAAATCATTAAGTGCAAAGTCTAAACTAATCTCTTTTGATTGACTCGTCAAGAATGTAAATTTTGAGTCGTTAATATGGCATTATTTGTGAAACAGTACCATGCAAGTAAATATTTTTAAATAGGTATAGTATAGTTGAGTAAAAGTAAAATACCAATCGGTTGATTCCATTGCCATAAAGAAGCTATGAAAAAGAAAAAACAATAAATGACACTGACGTTGACAATAAATCGTGGAAGCAGTAATGCCAAGTTAAGATTTTTACCCCAGATTTAGAGAGAAACCGACGTGGGTTTTATCTTCTATTAGTGGGTGTACGTGGAATATGTAATCAATTTGTATAGGTTTATTTTTGCTCATAAAAATCTCAACTAAAAATAATAAAAATTATCACTAGTCAATTTTTAATATGAAAAGTCAATTTGAAAATAGATTTTCTTTTAATGTTGTGGGTCAAATCAGCTATACGACTTTATTTATTGTAGCCAATTTTTTCGTTCTTTCCCAATTCACCTAATTATTTCACCCGGTTAAAATAATGGAACTTTTTCCCTGTAGTTCACCTATGTATTAATCCTTTTAACTGTTTAACTACTGGGAGTCGCTGTTTCATAGTTATTTGGTTTCATGGTAATCATGGTTAGTGGATAGGTAGGATTTCATAATTACTGAGAATAATAATCTTATTAGTTCAATCGGTTGAACTAATCAGATAAACTAGTGGGATTTTTTTTTAATTTTAAGAAAAATTTTCCTTAAAGACATTCCTGAACTTTTCCTTAAAACATATAAGGTTGCCACGGAAGATCAGCGTCGGACTGTCTAAGACATCCGACACATGCTGAGTGGTTGCCTTTTCAGTGTCATAGTATTATATCCTTTTTATCTTTGTTTTTCTTGTATGGTCACTGAATAAATAAGTTTCTTTCTTTCTTTCTTACTTGAGAGAAAACACTTGGACTTGATGCAAGGGTAAGTGAAATTATAATTTGGCAACACCGAATGGATGACAAACAAATGTTGCGATGATATTGGCTTTTTTGTTATTCTAATTTTTGGTTGTCCTTGTCCCCCCAAAGAGAATTTAAACATTATGGTTGTCCCGCGAATTTGATAATTTGCAAATCATTATTCCAACTTGCAGTAAAACACACAGTTTGTTTCGCTTGTGTTCTTGGAAAATGGAGTCGAACCTACAACACGAAGATTTACTTATAAAATTACGAGCAAAACTCAACGAACAGAAAATTAAATTATGGGAATCGCCGTATATTCTCCCTGATAATGGAATATCAGAAAGTTTGCAGGTATTATTTTGCTAAACTACAAAACTTATCTCTAGATTTATGATATTCTATAACCAATGATGGCTCAATGCCACATTTTAAATAACTTTAGGCTAATGACCTTTTTGTCTATTTATATTCTTAAGTGATTATATTGGTTATTAAAAACATATAAATCCATATTTTTTAGGATTTAGCTAAACAATATGCCACTGAACTATCGCTTGACACAGACACTGTTCTCCAAGCTTTACATGAGCTTCAACTGCACTCAGTTGATCGTTCTAAAGCTAATGCCGAGTTCAAGGAGACCGGATGTGCTACCCTCAGAATCAAAGCGACAATGCCCGGAGAGAAACCTCATATGATCAAAGTGCAAAAAAAGCTTGATATCTTAGGCAGTGAGCTAATCAAAGTTGTAGCAGATGAAATTGGTGTTACTGACAACCGGTTGGTATTATTAGCCCTTTTAATAATGTCATAATAAATAACTTGAAGTCACCATTAACAAATAAGCATTTTAAAATCAATTGGGAATAAATACTATGTTTGCATGTTAGAAATATTCTTATGGATAAGAAAAAAGTTGGGTGTAAATAAATGTAATTTATGAAATATTCAACAAATACTAATTTTTATGAAATTATTTTTTTCTTTGCAGAGTAAAGTTAATATTCAATGGTAAAATAATTATCACAGCACAAAATCTAGAAGACCAAGGAGTTAAAAATGGAGCTCAAATAATGGCACTGGTCATGGCAGGTGAAAATAATTAAAATATTACTTTCAAAGTATTTTATGGCATTATTATTAATAATAATAATGCTTACAAAAAGTCTATTTCAAAATGGATCTGTTGAAAATGGAAATTACGTAGGAAAATGCTCCAAGTAATAGCTGATAACAATTTTGATAGTTTGTTTCTTATAAATCCAATTCTTTAAAATATAAAATTTTGAAAATTAATAAATACAACTGCCAATTCAAACTAAAACAAAAGTTGTAGTATAGCTTGGTTAACCTAATTTCTTACTAAAATCGGGGTACCATTTCAAATTATATCTAGTTTCTTAATTTTAGTAAGCAGTTGCTTATCTATACAAGTTGTAAATTTTTGAAATGTGCTCATCGAGACCTTTACCTGTAGAGCCCTTGTTCATGTAAAATCTCATTTAAAAGATTATAATAGTTCTTTATGGAATTTGAAAAGTTAACTTTTATGTAAAAATATTTCTTTCGGCTGTTTGCGTAGATTGCCCGAACATTGATGAAAATACTCTCCATAGTAACAAAAAGAAACTATTGTTGAAAAATTTGTCAGCCCTTTTAGGCCCTGGCCGAAAGACCATGGGTCCAAGTCCCATCTCAGAGCGCCAGGGACAAAGTGGATTTTTAATCATTTTTCAGTATAGCATTGTGTATGCAATATTGATCAAATGTAATAAAAAGAGTAGCTCGGTGGCGTAGTGGTTAAGCGCCGCGGCCCGCGATCGTAGTCGTTAAGCAACTTTCGCAAGGGTCGGTCACGGGATGGGTGACCAAAAAATTATTATCTCGAGCTACTCCGTGCTTCGGAAGGCACGTTAAGCCGTTGGTCCCGGCTGCATTTGCAGTCGTTAATACCCTCCAATCCGCATTGGGCCAGCGTGGAGGGTCATGGCCCATCCTCCTTAACCATCCATAAGGAAGGCCTGAGCCCCTGCAGTGGGGACGTAAAAGGGCTGGTGATGTGGTGATGTGTAATAAAAAGTATATTTGCATTTTCCATGTTTATCAGAGACTCCTGAACAAGTAAAGAAAGAGGACACCATGTACATGGAGATGAAAACGACACGTGATGACGCCATGCTGCTGTCTGAATATGTTGATGACCTTGGTGATGATGATGAGTATATGAAAGTGAGTGAGAATAGACATTATATGGTCATTGCTAGTTTGCCAAAAGCAGCGGTTCTGAAACTTTTTTATTGATGAAATTATTTTTGGTAACCAAATATTACCTTTAAAATAAAACAAGACGCCATCCATTTATAGACAGTGAAGATGAAGATGATTTAGATAAGGAGTAGGGGTCAACCGTGTCTTATTTTTCTTATAAGGTAAGAGACAGGACAAGTAAGATCACAAAAAAAACGCCATGTTGTGATTATTAAGCAAGTTGAGGATAAATTGGGCAAAAAATATATGTTTTTGTTCAAATTTTAAAACTATCGAAAATCGTGTTACGTAATAAAGGGATGGTGCCAAACTTAGTTATATATACTGTTTGTTAATAATGAATTACCTATGTGTACATATTTTACTTCAACACTCATAAATGGGGTAGTTTCTATAGTGAAACAAATCACGAAATTGCACAAAAACTTACTAAAATTTACATCATAATAAACATACAGATTCTGATTTTGAGTCTTAAAATCATATGAATATCTTAAATTAAAAGTCATCATTATTTTGTCTGCGTAAAACTGAACTGAACATAACTTGAAACACAACCTACCTTTGTGTAAGATTATTCTTAAGATTCAACTTCCTATATGGCGCTGTTCTTAGTTTATTTATATCTTTTTTTTTTCATAATTGTTCAATAGATGGCATTATTCTTGTTTTATTGGCAATCTTTTATTCTTCTACTCTATGCATCTGTTTTGTGTACATATCGGAATGACGTCATTAATATGTCGGACAGCATTTTCGCGTGTAAAAAAGCTTAAATTTAGATTTAATTTTAAGACTAGAAATCATGTTAAATTTTCCGAAATATTTATTTTACGGTATATTTACTTTTTATTATTTACTTATTTTTTTATTAAAATAAACAGAACCAAGTATTATTTCAAATACAGTAGTATACTCTATTACCGAAATATTACTAATATTTATGAGAATCTAAAACATAGGACAGGCTGTCCTATGTTTTATTAGTTTAAATAGGTTGTATTGAAACAGATATACACAGTTATTTCTTATACACTAGCAACCATAGTATAACCTAAGCACAACGATTATTAAATCAAAATAATATTTAGATTTGTAGGTACCTCATATATCATATATAAATGTCACGACAGTGCCACAAGAACTTGAAAATTCATTGTTATTTAAAGTATCATGTTAAAACTCGTCGATCAAACGTTATAGTTTATGATGTTAGAAGTCTAGTCTTATGTGATTGCTGGTCAGATCAGATTGTGATATGCTCCTCCCATATCTGACCCTCGGACACGTTCTCGCCCAGTTCTTCATGTTAGACGGGCGGGTGAACATGGATGGATGGACGGTGTTGTTTTAGCTCGAGGATCAGTCCGGCAAGACTGTAGAACTGCCAGCGAGCGAGCGCCGAGCGCTGATGGTTGGTCTGGCGCTGCACGAGCGAGGCCGCGCCGCCGCCAAACAGAGGGACTACTCGCTGGCGCTGCTGCTACTGCTGGAAGCTGATAAACATTTTAGGTACATATTATATCATATCACTTTAAGTCTAAAACAATTAGATACTGACCTAGTATATGTACTGCCTTGTCTAATCGAAACGTTTAAATATTCCAGTAAATTATTGTTTAAAGTATTTTTTTTCATATCTATTAATTATTACATATCTAGCATGGGAGACAGGGTACAAAGGATATTATAAACATGGAAATGGAATTCGTAAGCAAATATTGTTCCTATATGTATATTCGGTATTATTGTGCCAGTGAGTGCAGTTCGTCTATCCTGAAGTCGGTGGACAACTGGGCGGTCCTGCAGCTGGATATAGCGTGGTGCTACCTCTGCCTGCAGAGTCTCTCGTCCGCTGCGGACGCGGCCGCCCGGCTAACGCGCGCTGAGGACGCCTTCAGGAACACCTACGGGGAACACCACCAGAGGCTGATCGCGCTCAAGGGGACCGCGGGTTAGTTGTGGCACTCTACTCTACCGTTTGAATCTACAATAGTACGTTTATTCGGAAATAAATATCTAATAGGTCTTGCAATGTGAATCGAATAATTATACTATATAAGATTATTGAGTTTTAAAAAAGTAACAGAATTTATCTATCATTTTAGCGAACGAACGCGTATTATTCATGCGATTGTACCTGTTGCAAGGAATAGTGGCTTACCACCAGAACAAGAGGGCTGAAGCAAAACTGCTTCTGGACAAAGCCGAACATGAAATGAACTTTTTGAGGGTAACTATTTGGTACTTTATTGGAATACGATTTAATTTTTATTATATTAACCATTGTTGTATGTCAGTAACACTGACACCGGCCGCGTCGTGATACAACTGCGGCGTACATGCGACTGTTGCGTTGATGCACTTTAGCAACTCCTGAGTGCTCCCTCCATAGTAAATCGTATAAAATTCGGTCTGGCGGGCAACACTACGCCGATGGCTCGAGGTGTGCAGCTTGGAGTCCACTATAATAGACCGACCCAGTTATGCGTTATGCGATCGCCCTACTGATGTAGACCATATATGTGGTATTAGCCAAATTGCAAATTGCTAATGCGCCTGACCGCCATTTTGCTAATGCGCCTGACCGCCATTTTGGTGAGGTAATTGCGTTCAATAATTAGTACCGTCAACAAATAAACACTGTTTGACAAGTACACTTATTGAGTTGGCTAGTGTTGAGATCACACATAATTTTAGATATATTTTTGAAGTTTTCTATTGTTATTGTTAAGTTTTGTTGTTGTTATGGTTCGCTGAAATAGCAACTGCTATTATGATTTTCACAATAAGTACACCTAATTTCACTATAAATAAATATATCTAACGTCTCCTATTAAAATATTACTTGTGGCTATGTTTAAAAAAAAATATTTTCCGTTGTTATTACAAAATAATCCTCAGAGTTCTATCGCAAAGACATCGCTAAGGCATTTTCAGTATAAATCGGCAATTTCATACTTTAACCCCTATTACTTATAAAAAAATAGGCCATTAATATCTGAGAAATAATGTAGAAGTAACAGCGTGTATGAGATTATTAGTTTCGGAGATATTGTGCTGTGTTTGTGGAACTGCTGCTAGTCGGCCGAAAACGTTCCCTACAAATTCAATGCACTAAGTGACGGTATCGAAAGAGGCGTAGCGTATATTTGTGCGTTTGTTTATAGCTTTTATAATCAAAGGTGTAACGTTTTATGTAACTAAATTAATGCCACTCGTATTGTAGCAAATTTTTATACAATATTTTCCTTGCTTTAAATTTTCAAAGCGCAATATTTTCCGAACTTGTATTTTCATTTGTTAGACACGCACCTATTGTGTCCGTATCATGTTATGAATGGATATCTAAATAAACAGTTCCCTAGGATCCACGCGGGCGAAAAGCTTGTATCTATATCTTCTTTTAAATATTATGGAAATAAAAGAAAAGGTATTTCTTTAATATTTAAATGTAGGTAGCATGTAGTGCATGAAAACCCTTTATAAGTATCAAATTATTAAAAAGCTTACATATTAATAAGTGATTGATATAAATAAGATATAAATAACAATGATATTACAATACAAAAGGGTAGATAGGCTACTTGAATATTAAAAGCGCCACTTTAAAACTAAGTTAATTAGCATACCTGAGTGCAGTCTGGCGAAAGTGTTAATTGTATGCGCTTATGTACCATAATCATTTTAAAAATAACACCCTTTATTATGCGAAACTGTAGAAACAACGCGAATAAGTCGGCTAAAGACCAAGGGGTCACATTTCATTCGTAAGTATACATTTTTAATTCATTTGCGTTTTAATCAGAAAAATAAATAATCTTCTATAATATAAAAATGAATCGCAAAATGTGTTGGTAAGCGCATAACTCAACAACGCCTGGCCCAATTTGGCCAATTCTTTTTTTTAAATGTTCGTTGAAGTTCAAGGATGGTTTTTACGGCGAGAAAAATTTGAATATATGCCGGAAAAACCGTAAGAACAGCCCTTTTCTTTTTCTCATACAAACGTTTTCTAACTAAAACGTTGAGTCAATTTGAGCTCTATTACTATTGTATAAAGTTCATATTAAATTACAAGCACTCACTGTTATCTAAGCAATGTAGGTGTGTTCCTAACGTCAAAGAGTCAATTTGCACTTTATAATAACATGCATCAAACACAGTAGTCTTTACCTTTTCGCTGATGACTTAAAGCTTTGCAAACCTGTTAAATGTCCAGCAGATTGCAATCTTATTCAGAAAGACATTGATGCTATTACTGATTGGTGTTCAGTCAACTAAATGACTCTAAATACTGATAAATGCCAAACGATTACTTTCTCGCGCAGTAATACCCCAATCAGATACCAATATTGCATTAACGGATCAGAGCTTCGAAAGGAATCTATTGTTAAGGACTTAGGTGTATTTTTCGATTCCAAGCTGACTTTTTTACCTCATATAGAACATATCATCAAGAAATCCTCTAAAATGCTTGGTTTCATCATTCGTAACAGTAGGTCATTCCGAAGGCCACATACAAAAAGGGTTGTTTTTTATGCTTATGTTCGTAGTCATATCGAGTATTGCAGCGTTGTCTGGTCACCTCAATATAATATACATCAACTTAGATTGGAACGGATACAGAAACGGTTTCTCGGGCACCTTTCCTTCTCGTGTGGACTACATAAGCGACTCCGCTCATACACCGATAGACTAGATTACTTTAAAATGGATAGCCTTTTGATCCGTAGACAGTTGCATGACCTGACGTTTCTTTATAAGGTACTAAGAAGCGAATTTGATTGTCCACCCTTGCTGCGGATTTTTAACATACGAGTTCCGCGTCGTGTGCCTCAGCGCGCACTTGGTCTGCTGCATCAGCCAACTACTCGAACCAACTTAAAATTATTCGCTGCCGCATGTAGACTGCCGAAAGCATTTAACGCTATTAGTAAAGGGTTGGATATCTTCAAAGATAGTCTGGCCAGTTTTAAGAGAGCAGCTTTACTGTTGCTGAAACCTTGATTGATTGATGCAAGTTGTGGGATATTTTTATTTTCTTTTTCTTTTTTTGTACTGTAATTTGTTGTTATGTTGAACTATAATTTATTTAGATTTTATTTAGTATAAGTATCAAGTGCTGCTTTTCAGTGCATGTTGTGACACCTTAGAATTTTGTGCATTTAGTTATGTTATAGCGATTATATTCTAATAATTCATTTAATGTAACAACTATTGGATGTCCTAATAAATAAATAAATTATCGCTATACAAAGTTGAAATTCAATAATATCAATACAGTGTGCGTGTGTGCGTTGGAGCACAGAATACATCGTTGGAGGATTTAATGCCGCGTTCCGAAACTCAATTAAAGTAAATCATTAGTATTGATTTTCAATTTGGTCGGCTTTGTAATTATGATTCACATAATTAACAATAAAGCGATTACTTACTTTTAAATGCTTATAATATATATTTTATTTTATTATTTCTTATTCACCACGCCCTATCACCAGGGTGACGGTTCAGTTCATGAGAATTTTTTGCCCCGACTATAAAATAAGTAGGAACAAAAAACTGCCACATTACAAATCTTTTTGACAGGACGAAGTCTGTCGGGTCCGCTAGTGTATCATAAAAAAGAGTAAATACTCCGGTTACAAATTGTGAAAAGGATATGTCAAAGATTATGTAAGTAACAGAATGGATAATTCGACTTTAGTGCCAACGCTTTACCTAACATTTATTCGAAAACCTATATGAGACTGAAACTGAAACTCCAGGGTTTGAATTCGGAGCATCGAAACCTAACTTGGAAGCTAAAAAATACTCCGATTCCGTTTACGATGGTAACCCTCGTGTTATTCATATTATATATCAGTGATCGCTTGAAAAGCTATTATTTATACTCGGGCAAATGATATATACACTAATGACAAGGAGAAATAATAATGTTAGACATCAAGATTTTTAAGTTTTTGAAGTTTTTAACTTGTTTAAGTACAAGTGGGCATTAAACCATTATATAATTGGAGAGTATCGTGCCATGTGCGTGTGTATATGCTGGGTACAATTTTTGACATGGTATTAATACTGACATGACCTATTGTGTTGTAAAATCATTGATAAATAATATTTAAAATACATTTTTTGAATAGGATTGGATAAAAATAACTTTAAATGTCGTTTCATTATTTTCACGTAGGAATTTTATTAAGTGTAATTTAAGTTTAAGTAGTAATACATTTCTTTTTGTTTTCAATAAATAAAACATATTGGGTTTTATATTGTCAGTGCTTTTTATGGAGCCGTTAGTTGATATATATATTAACGGCGGGTAGTCAGAAGGTGCTATTGCGAAGCCCAAATAGATGGTCCATATCAGGGGACTATCTTTAAAATAATATTGCAGGCGTGTATACCAACGTGGATTTATTCCATTTTATCACTTTTCATGTGAAAATATAACGAGATGAGCGTGATGTCGTCAGATGTCTTTACTCATCGGCGATCGGAAACAGAATGTGTGCCAAAATGGCGGCAATTTGGTTTTTATTAACCAACTGTCAGTCAGTGTCACCATTCTAATAAAATTAAAAGTATCGATGATCACGCTCTCTCTACAATCGAGTAATTAAGTAATCGAGTACCTAGCAATTAAAATAAAAGAAACTAAATCAAACGATCTTCGTAAAGATGATGCGACATATATATATATCGGTGCAGGTGGACGAGGTGTCTGTGTCCGCGCTGGTGGAGCTCGGTTGGTCGGAGGTGCAGGCACGCGCGGGGCTGCGCGCGGTGGGGGGGGACCCGCACGCCGCCCACCACCACCTCGCCGACACGGCGCAGCGGCGGCGCGACGCCAGGGAGCAGCACAAGCTAAACAGGTGCACCACAACATTGGGCAGGGTCATTCAATCACAACGTTACGGATACTGCACGTTGCTTCAATGAGTCATATCTTTTTGTATTCCCATATTTTAAACACGATTCCTCTCACTTTTGTTATCGAGCTGATTTTACAACTTCTGTTTTGTTTAATGGTTAAAACATTGTTGTAATAATATTTAAGCTAGTTGTGTACATTTGTATTGGCCTGTGGCTGTTTTATGTACCAATCAAATAAAAATAAAATAAAATAATAAATATGTTACTTGAGTAACTCACAAAACTTCAATATTATACTGTGTTATACAAAGAACTGCTCTCAATCTTTATAACTAATTGTAATTTACTTTAAGTTAAATTATTGTTATTCCGCTGTTGCTGTCCTAAATAAATAAATAAATATTTAACAACATCACATACATTGCTCAGATTCCAAGATGAGTAGCTAAAGCCCCTGTATTATGGAGCATCTGAGACAACGAAGGTACCACAACACCCAGACCCGAGTCAATATAGAAAAGTTCATTTTCTACATTGACCTGACCGGGAATCGAACCCGGGACCTCAGAGATGGCGACACCTTGAAACCGACGTGCAAACCACTCGGCTACGGAGGTCGTCAATAAATAAACAGTACTAACGCTTTAACGCGCCGCTAAGTGGGCGTTCTATTTGGCGAAAGTCACAAAAATAGAATACGTGCACGTACACGATCCGTAAATGCGTATAAACACGCCCACACGCAGACGCCGCCGTCAGCTGGGCGTGTGCGTGGACGGCAGCGAGGTGAAGCAGCAGCTGGTGGAGGGGCTGGTGGGGATGGGGTACCCGCGGCGGCTCGCCACCATGGCGCTCAGGAACTCCAACAATCACGTCGCGGACGCGGTCAGGCTCATACAGGAACAACCAGAGATGGTAACACTAACGCCGTCCCCGCTCAACTTACAGCCATTTGCACAAACGTCTAGGTTAAAGCGACGTTACCCGTACATTTGACATTCATTAGTGGTTAAAGGCGTCATTGAACGTTAATGGAAGTTTGTGCAACGGACCGTTACTCGCTTGTGTTACATTAGGCTGGGACCCCATTTAATAATACTAAGCGATGCGATAAATTATGACATGCTTTATGTACATTTTACAATAGGCTTTTGCCTAACTATAACAGATCACAGTTGTGAAATCTAAAGATTACTTGAAATTAAACAAATCTGCTCTGGCTATTCTTAAGATCTGACTGTTCCTAGTTAAGCTAGAACTTGTTCTAGGTTATTGGGTGCGGGTATAACTATTATATACACTTAGATGCAAATGTATTTTGCCATATATTTTTTATTTCTAATATCAGTAGAAAAACGGTTTTCTTAGATACTCCACGCTTGGCTTGATCCGATGACCTTTCGTCGAGCGAATGGTTTTACAGCTGAATTATCGGAGATTAAAAAAATTCAGTAGTCTAAATCATATCTGATGATTCTAATATTACTTTCTAACATAAAATGCAAAATACGCCGTCAGTGATAGATACAATTTTTTTAAGCAAGTACAAAACATCAACAACATTTCACTACACACAGATAATATATCGGTTTAAAATTATATGGACATAATGTCAAATGTTTCCCAAATGTGGACATTTTCAACGTGAAACCATTATTTATGAGGCGCTTATTAGCGAAGTCGTATTTTACTTAAAAAAAAGGAAAAATTTATGATGAAAATTAATATTTTAGCATTTTATATAATTAGTATAAGTAGTATAAATTTTTCTCATTAGTTGGCTATTTGTGAAAACTTGTTAATGGCTTTATATAATATTAGTTCGTTGTTAATTACATGTATTATAGCTGTAAGTTTTCCGAATAAAATAAATAAAATAAATAAATAATAATTAATAAAAATATCAACACCATCTCATAGACTAAAAACAATTATGTCCGTTCCACGCCAACTTAAAACAACATTTCTAACTATGAATCTATTGACATCAATATATTGTTTCCAGTTGGAGGACAGTGATCTATCTTCCGATGACACGCAAAGTCCTAGTTCGGATGAATCGGTATTAGAGCCAGACGAGAAGCTCGTCACCCAAGTATGTACATTAATGTGGCTCTCTAGTTATAAGAAACTAACCGTTCCCGTTTCCAACTACTTCGCCCTTGTAAATTATAGGCAATATCTCCCGCGTAGGTGAACGAATTTTCAAAAAATTAAAATTCGATACTACCCACCCACATTCGAATTCACTTATGTGCCCGAATACACGTGATTTACTGTAGAAATTCTATTTATTAAATTTTTTGTATATAAATACAAGAAAAAATTGATTGAATATACATGTGTCAGACATTCTATTCGTTTGTCATTTGGAAACTCACTTCACTTATGCAACGAAACATTATTACAAATTCAAGGTTGAGCGGATGTCGCTTTTTGAAGTCAATTCAAACATCTGAGTGAATTCGGATTCGTGTTTGATTATTATAGAATCGCAGGGCTGTTCAGTGTAAATGAAATCTTTTCTGTTTATAATAGTTCTTTAATTAATATATATTTGTGAGATCCGAGAAATACTCAAGGCGATATTTCCAAACTGAACAATGTTTGTTTAATTCGGGCAAATAAGCAATGTGCAAAAACGTATCTCTAATTTTAACATGAAATTATCATAAGCATGTCCATATTAAGATATACGTTTGAGATTATGTAAAAAGAAATACCTTATGCTTATATTATTTGTGCAGTTAGCAGCAATGGGTTACGAGTGTGAAGAAGCTAAGACAGCGCTACGAGTGTCGCGTAACAACGTGGACGCGGCGCTGGACTTGCTGATAGCGGGCGGTGGACATGTCACTGAGGGTAAGCAGCTTAACATACCGACAGTGGACGCTATGCCGACGTCCACAACTATTAACACCTTTATCGACTATATTATGAGGCGAAAGAAGGGAATTTTAAAATTCTTTATATGAAAACATATGAATACTGATACATTTCGAATCGATAGAATTCTAATATCATTTACTCATAAAATTTTAGGAATTGTAAGTTAAAAATTAAAGAAACTCCAAAAGATGTCATATAAGTACATAGTGTTAAAATAATTTTCGTATTATTATTTATCTGTTTTATTTTTAATATAATATACTCGTACATAATATTTGCTGATTAAGTAGCGATTATATAACTAAACTATGTTAGTTCTACTTGTCTGACACATGGGTCTACCTAGTTCAGACTTGAACCAAAAATGTTCACCTACAGACTAAATGTTGATGTATGTAAATAAAAAAATAATAATTTCAAAGAAACCAGTTATGTAAAAATATTAATTTATAATACTTACCAAATTCGTAATATAATTTATAAATATATTATTATTAATATAAAATTAGCGAGGTGTAAAGAAAATCCGTTTTGTTTTTCCTTCAACTCGGATTGATTTATTCTCAGTCTTATAGTATAAAATAGTTTTTTATTATACCACTCTCTAAACTAAGCTATGTTATATTATGTTGGTTTACTTTGACATTATTCCGTAGTCACGTGATCAAATAAATATAATTATATTGTATATGTCGGCGGGTAGTCAGAAGGGGCTATTACGAAGCCCAAATAGATCGTCCATATCGGAGGACTATCTTTAAAATAACACTGCAGGCGGGTATACCAACGTGGATTTGTTCCATTTTATCACTTATCATACGAAAATATAACGAGATGAGCGTGATGTCGTCGGATGTCTAATAAAATTAAAAGTATCGATGATCACGCTCTCTCTACAATCGAGTAAATAAGTAATCGAGTAACTAGCAATTAAAATAAAAAAAAAAACTAAATCAAACGATTTTCGTAAAGATGATGCGACATATAAAATAATATAATATTTATTGCTTAATAATTACTTATGTTGTTTATTGTTGTTTATTGTTTTTGTCAACAGTATTGCCGACAATAACTCACTAAATATGCCTTATATGTATAGTAATCGCTAAGATTTTCCCGTAAAATATAACATCTTCTTTTTGTGCATATTCCAGAAGACCCAGCAAATCCGTCCACCAGTTCAGGGGCAGCCGCTAAAAAGAAACAGAAGAGACACAGGAAAGATAAAAAGTTAAATTCTTTATTATCTAGTAAACGTCATTATCATAGTTTTCTTGGTTCTGTCTCAGCTCTTATATTTTTTTTTGGACACTTCTCGATCCGAAAGGTCTATCTTCGATCTCCATACTACCTCTCTGACCACATTCATTCGCATAACCTCTTTTTTCATACATCATTCTATTTACGGCTTTAAAATACAATTAAATGTTAGTTCTGTGGTAATTTTTCTTACATATCACGCGATCGGACAAACTTGTGATCTTATGTGGGTTCAGTTTTTCTCCTTTTGGAAACTTACAGAGTTATTCATAAACAAGGTTTACCGTTGAAGTAAATTTACGCTGCTTTAGTATTAGTCAAAATTCATATTATTAAATAGAGACTTAGCAAAGGTTAACCTAGTACGAGGTTCTACGATAGTAATATTTACTGATAGAAGGTAGTAGGTTTGATTTTTCTCTGTGTAATATGAATATGGACTAATACTACAATTTCAATTTTAACCTTAATTTACTCTTGACGTTAAACCTTATTTATGAATAGCACTGTTAAGTTTATTTGTGATATTTAACAACTTGTACAGTTTGGTATAGAACCTCCATGGCGTAGTGGATAAGGGCCGCCTCCCGCGATCATTGTTGTTAAGCAACTTCCACAGTGGTCAGTCATGAGATGGGTGACCAAACATTATTATCTCGGGCTACTCGTGGTTCGGAAAGCACTTTAAGCCGGTGGTCCCAGCTGCATTTGTAGTCGTTAATACCCTCCAATACGCATTGATGCAGCATAGAGGATCATGATCCTTCTTAACCGTCTATTAAGATGGCCTGAGCCCTAGCAGTGGGGACGTAGAAGGGCTTATGATGATTTCACAAACATGAACGACAGCTCGTCAGGTTACCATTATAATTGTCAAAGCTCCGCAGTTGGTACCGCGTGGGATCCGGATGGTATAAATTTATTTTGAATCTACCCTCCAAAAAAAAACATTTCTTTTTAGCGATAAGGTCGCAGATTGTACTGTTAATACTTCTATAGCAAATTGTTATGTATTTTTTTCTTACATACAATAAAGTATTCATTCAATGCATTAAATCTTCGAATAGATAATATTGACGGTTCTTTTAACTTGAGCAACTGTACTGTATGCGCCTACTTATGTAATTAGTTGAGTGTAAATAATAACAGTGTTATACTTTTGTTCGTTAGGAAAAAAGAGCGCGAGCAAGCACTGAACAGGCTTACCTCCGCGATCCGGACGGAGGACGACGATCACCTCGACACTTCACTGGTGGAGGAAGAACAGTTCCTCGCTCAGTACAAGGCGCTTCTCTGAACAGGTGCCAATTTGGACCTTATTACAACTGAATATGGGGTTTAGTGCCTTTGGCTTAAATTTGCAATAAGTAAGTATATATTAGTTTATACAGAAAAGGTCCAGACAGATTTTAAACTTTTTTAAACAGGTAGGCCTCGCTTTTAAAAATGTATATGTACTTTAATAAAAATATTATTGAGTGTTGTATTGACGCGGTGCGATCTCATCGCTAATCAAAAGATATTCTGATTTCATAAACCAAACGCATTTTGTCGCTAAAGATAAGAAAGTGGCATTTTAATTTAAAATCTAGCACTCGCGTAAATCGAGTCAAAAAACATTTTATTAAGTGAGTAGTGTGTGAGTAGTTGTTCGTCCATGTAACTTACGAATTTAAATTACATTCTAGCCTGTTATACTTGTTGGTTTTATATTAACTAACTTTCCGCCAGCGGCTTCGCTCGCGTGGTCTTGTATTATACATAAAAAACTTTCTTTTGAATCACCCTATATAAAAAAAAAACCGCATCAAAATCCGTTGCGTAGTTTTAAAGATTTAAGCATACACAGGGATATATGGACAGAGAAAGCGACTTTGTTTTATACTTAGTAGTGATAATGAACTTTATTTACCATAATATGAAGTGCCACATAGAAATAAAAACCCTCGGTTAAACATAGATATATTTATTTTAATATTACGTGAATAAACTTATATTATTTTGTATTGTAATATATTAAGAATTAAATATTAACTCATTAGATGAGTTCATTCTATGTATATTTTCTCAAATAAAGTGTATATTTTGATATAATTGTTTTATTAGCATTATAAACGCAGATTTTCGGCGGAATATTTTTTCTAATTGAGAATAACTCGCCATTACTTTTAATGACATGTTAATTTATTACATGTAATTAAAAATTAAAGTATTTGTTAAAAGATTTACGAATCAAAATTAACCAAATTTTAATAGCTCATATGAAATTAATATGTCACAGCACATATATATCTGGTTTCTGAATTGAGAATTCAAAGTTAAGAACGTCTCAAACTGTGCTTAAACGTCACTTAAATTGGTTTAATTGTGAATATTGATATTTCGTACTTTTCTCAATCCAGAAATCAACTGATAGGCTACATTGTGATTATTGTATTATCTTAATTCTGCATTGAATTCTGCATTTAATATGAATTACATGATAAGTTCACTCAGTATTTTTCTGTGCTACGGTTTAGTCAACAAAATATATATACATTGATTTTAATATATTGTCAATGTTTATTGACATTTTAATATTTATTTTAACATATTATAATATCTGCGATAGTAATAATCAAACTGTAGCTTATTTTGCAAAAATCAGTAATAAACCTCCGGATGCAGTACAGATATCATAAGTAGCAACGATGTTCATTGGTAAATATAAGGAGGGGAAAGAACTTGAATATGATTTACAGTAATGAATATATTAATATCTGTGCAACGACAATGACAAACACATTGTGCTCAGCTTCATACCTATAAAAGTGACAGATTTCATAAAATCTGAGGCTTATAAATCAGATGCAAACCATGTATTAAAATGTTTCGATAAATATTAAAAAATAACTTAAAAATAGAAAACACTGTACAGGTAATATAGCACATTTTTGGAATCTTAACAATCAGTTGCACAAACGTCCATTAAAGTTTAATAACGCCTTCAAACTCTAATAAATCTCAAATTGGTATAGTGAATGTCGCTTTAAAATAATGACAACATTTGTGCAACTGGCTATATTCTGAATATATATATATTCTGAACTGCTATTGTCCGGTCTAAAGCAGAAACAACTTCGCCTCTGGGCATGGGAATAACGAAATGAAAATCTGACCATTCGATAGCTACTTGAACTTCATTTCCCAGTCACAAACTCTAGGAACATTACGTCATTCTTGATGTATTCGAATTTGTCTAAGCTAGTGTGCGGTATGAAGATGTACTGCCTCTTCAGTTGCAGGATGTTCTTGTCCAAGTTTTCTGTGGACCGCGCTGTCTCCAACGTGTCGGTCGACCGAGTCCTCTCGGGCTCCTGGTCGGTCGAGTCGTAGTCGTGTCTCTTCGATGACGATTTCCGCCTCAGTTGGAGGGACTTCACTATGTCCATTGCCTGTACAATTATAATAGTCCTATGATTAACATGACAGAAGATACATTAACACCCAATGGTCAGTTATTCCATTTTTGTGACGTACGAGGAAGGCATTATGCACTGTACGTGCCACTTAGTAAGGGTCGGGTGGGCGGGTGGTAATTTTATTATTTTCTTCGAGGTCCTTCCCCTTTGATATAGTTGGGAGCTTCATTGTCATTTGGAATGTTTTGTTGGGGTTTGTGGACACAAAACTTTGAGAAGCCCTGGTTTATATAGTGGTATTATATAATAAATACTGTATCGAATTACTTTGAAACACAGTGTTTAAAACTAGAGATAAATATATAATTTAATTGTTAATTAATTACTTTTTTATGCTTCAGTTTTACAATAAATAGGTAAGATAACAGGCATTAAAGTTGAGTGCGGGCTCGCTACGTTACAGTTTTGTGGAAATACAAAAGCGTAACGTCATGTGAAATTTAACTCAATGTATATTATCGATTACATATATACAAAAAAAAACGTATTTAATACTTTTCAATAATCTACCTGACGGACAGATAAAAATTACTCACTTTCTATATTGAGTAAAATAACCAGAGTTACCTGATAAATAACGGATATATATCCGTTGTACAACGTTTATACGTTGACATATACGTATGTCGGCACGAGATCAGAGTCACGAGATATATCAACATCTTAAAGACTGTTTTAAAATAATATACCAACTGATTCTATGATTAGTTTAAGAGTAATTATTTATGTTGGTTAATAGTTTGTTTTCTGTGCTTTGTTTTAATTATTTCCTGATAAAAATATAGTTTACTATTGACGCAGTTCAATGCGTATTCCTTATAATTGTAATAAGCTTTTAAATCACAAATTTACGTCTGTTCAAATCATACTAAATTATTATAATTATTTATAAACTGTAGAATATAACAATTACGTTAGTTAATGTGGAAATGATTATTTCATTATTCTGTCATACGATGGGTACGCCATCTAGCGTCAGACTTCCTGATATTATAAGTTAGTTTGATTCTTTTATTTTGAATTCGACTGAAATTAAACTTGCAATAATGTTTTAAAATTGTGATTAATTTAATGATGAATTTTCATAAAAAACAAATTCGAAATTGGACAATTGGCTGGATTTCTGGGACCATTTTTAGGGCATTACCTATTTGGAAGGCGCCGAGAGTGGTGGATTATTGTGAGTACCGAATTATTGTTTTTGTTAAGTGGATTAATTAAGTTGATTTGTGAGGTAATAAAATAGATTGTTATAAAGTGTGTTGTAGTTTTTAACGTAACGAGTGATCCTGGTGACAGTAACGGTGACGTCAGCCAAGCTGCACTATTTCTAGAAACTCGAAATGGGTTCATGCAACGTTATAATATAAATTGCTATTTATAATGTGTATAATTAGTTTGAGTATTGAGTCTTAGCTAGAAAATTAACTAACCCAGAAGTAGCAATGTTATTTACAAAAAATTTCGAAATTTTAAAAGATTTAATATTAATAATATAAAGCCACTGGCAGTTTAAAAATCGCGGCTTTTCATATGTATGATACATATATTAGATAAATATATAATATCGCATATATTGATAATTTGTATAAATATCTGCTTTGTTATATCAAATTCGGAATATGCCTCAGTTATCTGCAATTCTTCTTATAATTTATACATAAACAGCATCGAAAGAATATATTTAAAATGTGTAAAGCATATATAATTTAGATATTTTACAAAAGATAATGGTGATGAACTTATCAAAATGTCCCTGCGAGAGAGATCCAGGTTTTTGTGTATGAGATCTTAAACGTCATATATAATGACAGTATTTATGTTACTCGTAGTTTATAAAAAAAACTGAGAGAGGTACTTGATAAATCATTTTAAGACTGGAATTTTTCAGTTTCAGCTATAAACACTATAGCAAATATCATATTTTATATGGTAGTGTAGTATGGTAGCGTGCATATGGTAGCCACTGGCCTGGTTCCTGTTGGCTGGCTGGTCCTTGAGGGCGATGTTGACGCTGATGTCGCACGGCCACGGCAGCAGCGCGTCGTACGGCCCGCCCACCGCGCGCACCGTGCACGTCACGTGCCGCCCGCGCCACTTGCCGATACCGTTCAGGTGCAACTCCGCCTGCCGGCACAGTGTCTCACTGTATTGTCCGACACGCTCGGCACGTACCGCTCGCTCTCTCTCCCTCTCACACACTCTCTATCTCCCTCGCGCTCTCTCACACACACTCTATCTCTTTCTCTCTCTCTCTCTCTTTCTCTCTCTATCTATCTATCTATCTCTCTCTCTCTCTCTAAACTATACTATACTAAAACATTCTTTATATAATCTGGACGTGATATTTAACTTTTTTATTATTTTTGTTTTATAGATAGGTAAATTACGTTCTTTTGTCTCCTTAAGCGTGTTTCATTGGAATAAGGTTGCATTTACTTTCACTTGAAATTAAAAAAAAAACAATAAATATTTAATTAAATCATAAGATGAACGCGTGTTACCTTTAGTGTGTATCCATATTTACTGGTGCGGAACAGAGGACTGGTCAATATCGTGTCGTTCTCTTTGGCGTCCTTCATTCGTGCTGTGAAATTGTCTATCCGCCATATGAACCGACCTGTAGGGTTATTTATTTAGTCATTATAATATTTATTTAACGAGCACTTATATCAAGGTGTTGGTATCATAAAACTAAAAGAAGGTATTCTAAAATTCACCAATTTTCCATATTGTATCATATTTATCTCAAATTTAAAAAAAAAATGGTACCTTTGTTAGACTATTATGTGCTGTTTCACGTTTTTTTACAAAACTTTGATCCGATCTGGGGCCAATTCTACTAAATAAATTTTGTTTAAATCGAATCGAAAACGAATCGAAACCGAACGAAACTACAGCTTTTAATGGTTTTTTTATTCTACTACTAAGTGACATACGATACAATTCTAGCTAAAATAGAACTGGAATTGTATCGTATGTCGTATGTTAAAAAATTTATTTAGTAGAATTGGCCCCCTGTATGGAAGTTTGGTTACTCGAAACAATTAGTGTATTTTTTTTTTGCAATTACGACATTTTTTGCCTCGGCAAAGTTTTCGAAAACATTAAAGAAAATAATTGACTTTATAATAATGCAGATCACTTCGTAGGCAACATTAACAACGCCGCGTTCGGACCGTATTATTGTAATGTAAATTATAATAACCGTCGTCGCTGCCGGTCTCGTGGCTGTCGAAGTTGACTCTTGCCTGGAAGTCGGCGAGTTCGTTGCGCATCTTGAGGTACGACTTGGTGAGCGCGCGCAGGTCCCGCGCGAGCACGTCCGCGCGCGCCGCGTGCTCGGCCGCCTCCGCGCGCGCCGTCGCCGTCGCCACCTCCAACACGGACAGCCGGTCCAGGGGCTGCGGAGGCAGATAGAACACTACAAGATACATTCAGCTAAATGTGCGATGAGCTACGGTCACATCACAATAATGACATACTGAACGACAAACTTGTACAGTAATGAATTGATTTTAAACCTCAAAGCCTTGGGGGTAATGTTATTTCCGACATTGATGCACATTATGATACAGAAGTGGTAATGAAATCATTAAAAAAAAACTATTATTGGCTAATGAGCTGTGCCACAGTGGTGAAAAAGTCTCCGTCTCAACATATATCACGACGATAAAAATCATATGGTCATGACGCTGATTTTCAGACGGAGGCAAGTTGCGCGTGAGTTGTTTATTATAAGACTGAATTAAGTAAATCGTCGCTGTATAAAAAGCAGAAGATAAATATACCCCTATTGATTTTTTTCTAAATATGTGTTCTATTAAGATTTAAAAAATATACAAGATAATCGAAATAGCAATTAATTAAAATAATTAGTACATGAAATGGCAAATTAAATTAAATTTTAAATATCTATTTAAAATTGAAATTATCCAATCAAAATGATATACTTATTTATTGTAAATTCATTTAAATTATGAATAAAATTTCACAAAACAGCAATTATCCGGAAATCAGTCGATAAGTTACAGTATTTGACAACCTTTTATGTTGCGTTATCTTCAGAGGTCGGAATTAGGTAGAGTTATTCATGTACTTGCATCGAAATGTTGATATTAATGTGGACCTTCCCGGGTTTCTAATGGACAATCTTGGACATCTTTGGACATCCGATGTCATTGATGTAAGTTTGGCAACGTCGTGCGTGCAGTAGTTTAAATTGTGTAAAAGTAAATAACTTTTTATTTAAAATATCACGGGATTTTTTCTGCTCTTTAAAATTAATCTCGGGATTTGAGGCATATTCACTTTATTCTCTCGCTGTATGAAATCAGTGTAAGTACATGAATAACTCTACCTAATTCCGACCACTGGTTATCTTAGGAAATTTTTTCTTAAGCCCAGTTTTTAAAGCAAACTTAAACTTCGCCTGCCTAATTGGTGGTGGTAAGTTGTTCCAACATTTCGTTGCCAGATACCGAAAGCTACCACGTAATTCTACATTTTTTGACAGGGGCAAGACGAGTTTCCAAGAGGAACCTCGAGAGTATGATTATATAATTAGCCGAAACAATATTGTCAAAAATGAAATTACACATGGTGATATTATGTACACGTTAACTACATCACAGATATTTATGTAATATGAAGATGATAGGACACACGATTCGTTAAAAGAAATTCGGCCCTGTCCTATATTTTGTCGTCCCTACCTGCGCTGCGACCACCTAACTCGAAGTTGTTTTGATTAATGTAAATGGCATATAGTGGTAAGTACAACACCCACCGGCCTGTCGGCGGCGGCGTCCTGCAGCTGCAGCCGCAGCGCGGACAGCTGCATCAGCTGCTCCGAGGACCGCCGCGCCTCCGCCAGCTCGGCCTCGAGGGCCGCCCGCTGTTCCGCATTCCTCTCCCGCTCCTCTTCCACACTCCTCTTTATGTATTCTATTACTTCCTCTATGAATAAGTATATATTAGTAACTGTAATGTTATTGACTTAAACAATATTCAGGTTGTCTGAGAAACTAATCCAGCAGCTCGAACGTATCGCATTAAAATCAATAGAGTTACCGAGTTTGTTGACCGCTCGTATTCTGTGGTCGTGCTGCGTGAGGGCTTGCTCCAGCAGCTCCCTCTCCTGCTGCTCGTGCACCAGGCTGCTCACCGCACTCTCCAGCCTCATCACAGTAGACAACTGCTGGCTCTGCAACTCCTGTACAATACAGCAGACCAGTGGACACATTCAGTCCAATGAGAACGATAACATTAATACTATATACATAGAGACCGATTATTTTTAACAATTAATAATACAATGAAAGACATTTTCTAAAAGGATGAGTTATATATCATCATCATCATCATCATCAGCCTTTTTAAGCCTCCACTGCAGGGGCTCAGGTCTTCCTTATGGATGGTGAAATTGATACTTTTTTTGGATAGCGATGCCTATATGGAAGCTCAGCCACTACTAACGCCACGCTGTGTTGAACATCTGAACAATAGTGTTCTGGTAACGGACTCTATGTAATATTCAGTCGCCAAACTAAATCACATGTTGTGAAGGACTTCCAAACTATTTGACGGTCCAACTCAATAATTGCCCAATACTACATTCTTGTACTCTTAATGTTATTTGTTTTCGTCGACTTCTGGCCGAGTGGTTTTACCATACTGAGTGGAGTTGCCACCTCTAAGGTGCGTCGATTCCTGGTCAAGTCAATAGAGATAATTAAAATTTCTCTATTGTCTTACAACTAGGAATAGTAGTACCTTCGTTCTATCAGATTTTCATAACACAAGGTCTTTAGCTGGTATGGTATTTAAACAATGTATGCCAAGTTGTCTAAAGTATATATATGTATCAACAAACTATATATACCTGCAATGCTAGTTGCACATTTGCTAAGTCGTGTTTGAACTGCGCGGCCCAATTGGCAGCTCTCTCCGCCTCGTCGTCCACCGTCCCCCGCAGCGAGACCAGATTGGACAGGAAGTGTTGATTCTGCTCCTCCACCAGGACTAGTTTAGAGCGAAGTGTTTCTAGCTCGGTGGATTGAATGTCACGCCGGCTGGATTCCTCCGTAAGAACTAATCTGATCGGTATGAATATATTTAATATTTTGGTGACTAGTCATTAATTATTTCATGGGTTTCAAACTTGACTAATTTAGTCAAGACTATTTTTTGATTATTTGTCAGTCAGGTTATTGAAGAATATATATACCTATTTTTTTACTTTTTGCGTAATCAATAAATTGCGGCGATACATTGAGTGGAAATGTCGCATGAAATAACGCTTTTGTACATTTTCTACAAAACTGTGACGTAACGAGCCCCCACTCCTCAACTTTAATGTCTATTATATCGAATATTTTTATATTATCTGACAGATGGACTAAATAGAATATTTTATTATACATATTGTCATCCATATTGCGCCCAAAACATGTACAATAGCTTAGTTAATGTCTTTAGGTATTCTTTGCCAATAAATCGGGGAACTACGTACAGACAATAGTTCCGACGGTGCAAAAAGTAAATTGTCATCAATCATCACTGGGTCTGGATATCGGACAAATATCTTGATAATAATAGTAGCCAAGTTTCTAACTTGATGTTAGCGACTTCCTTCTCCAGGTAAGACACGCAGTCGTCCAGTGGTACAGCCCTAGGCGCCCACGTGTGGCCTGACGTGGGCGGCGGCACCGGCTCCGGCTGACGCGCGTGCGTCGGTGACGTGGCCGTACGAGTCTGATGATCAACACCCCAAATGAGATTAAACGTTGTTTGCTTTATAAAACAAGCTTTACCGTATTTCGTATGGGGTCATCGCTTTAACTTATTTTGGGGTGTTTTTTATTGAAATATTTCGTGAATTTAACTTATTGGTAAGTTAATTATCTGGCTCTATTTATACGAAGGGTCGGTAAAAAATGCATTATTGTTTATATTACAAATGTCACAGATTACGTCGCCACAGACTGGACAACAAAGATTATTAAACAGATGTGCCACAAAACAAATGCATAAAGTAAACGACTAATGACAAAATAAAAACGGTTCAAAAAGCTTAGCGCGCAAACTACATCGACTACTAGGTTGATATCGGATTCACTCACAGAACACGGAAATGTGTTCTGTGGGATTCACTCAAAATACACTTCCATACTGTATTGTTGATTCAGTTCATTTTGATTCGATTCCGATGTTAACCAAACGAAGTCAATGTAGGACCCAGGGCCCTCGTCTCCGGATCACGATCTTAGCTGTAGATACGAATCAATAAAATAAACAGTCTTCACTAATAATGGAAAAATATTAGGTTAAGGGTTGTTATCTACACATTTGTTAGTGGTCTACTTGTTACTTATATAAGCATCACCCAAAAACAAATCTATTACATTAGTTTAGTCAGAGTTACATAGTATGTGTTCAGTAACCAATTTTACAAAGTGAAACAATATGTCCCTTATTTCACGATGGACCTGAATAGTATTTATTTCTGCTTTCAATTTTACGGTCGAAGTTATAAGAAAAAATATTTCGGGACCGAGTTGTCCAGTCTGCAGGCGCAAGGCGTACCAACCCAACAACATTGGACTGGCATTAGTCAATTATTCAATCAAAATGTACCCAACGCTTAATACTGTATTGAAATTTAATACGTCGTGTGCAGGTTAAGTGCATTTTGATTGGATCCGTTGCTAACTAAATCGAAGCCAATGTAACACGGCAGATCAGCCGGTGTGTACCTTCTCCATTTGCGGGCAGTCCTTGACGTGGGTCTCCTTGTGTTTCCTCTGGATCCACGCGCCACATCGCAGCGGGCATTGTTCCAGAATACTGCCGCACTGCTTCAAGTGATTCTAAGAACATTTACATATATTGTACCGTATATATGTCACATCAAACTAATTAACAGTAGTTCAATTGAACGACTGGCCCATTAGTTGACTAGTTATTTAATTGCACGGCTAATTTTCTATTCGACATCATAAACGTTTAGTAAGACAGCTGACTTAGAAGTCGCCCTATTATTCAAATGGTATTTGTCTTCGCCAACGCGGCGTTAGTTGAAGTGTTTGCATGACGGCATAAACAGATACTCTATATATGTATTATCATCATATTCATCGATCGGTTATTGGCTTAGATCGGTTTATTAACCAATGAAAAAGTGCCTCCGAAGTTGTGCGACGCACACCGCATGTATCGATCAAATATAAATGAATCATGTATCAGTGAATCCTAAAAAACGTATGATTTATTGCACTATGAGATAAGGGTTACAAATATTTTCATCTTGGTTTCAGAATTTTTTTCATAAATGCTTTCAGATTTATTACTGGATATTGTAAGTAGGTACCATTGGTTTATTATATCTGATAACAATTCGAAGAAAACATTTGTTATCAGTGCTCATTTTTTTAGTATCGAAGTTATCGAAGCTTATCGAAGGTATCAAAGATTTTTTAAATTCCATATTAAAATTGATTAATATTCTCTTGTTTTTTTACCGTAGTAAACAATAGTTAATAGATATCATAAGTGGCAACGTGTTTATAAACATGTTCATTATTTCATTATTGAAGGTCGTGTTCCTAATGAAAGTCCTTCAGGTTTTTCTGACCTTCTCATCGTCTAGATATTCAGCCTTTCGTACGGCAGTTGTTATAGAGATAACAGTTAGTGGTGGTGGTACTGGCCACACCAACGGCTCGGTGAATGGCCACGGGATCTTATACGATTCATATCTGAGGATTTTTTCAAAACATAGTTGATGGTACACGAAGCATCCTCCTCCAACACCACAAAAATAGGTTCTATACGTCTGTAAACATATATAACTTATTTTTCCTTCTTTATCTCCAATGTTAGCATGCTGATTAAAGTGATAATAAAATGTGAATATGATTTGCAGTAATGAATACAGATTAATAGACTTCGGTTGAATTGCGAGGTTATAATGTCATCATTCCCTATGAACGCAATGAAATAGAACCTTAGCGTAGTTGGGGTGCTAACAGCTACAGCTTCAGCCGGGCTAACTTACAGAAACACGCCGGAGCATAAGTAATATTCGCAAACGCAGACTGAACTCGCGGAGCAAACCATACGTAGTACGAGTAAGCGTACATAATGTATAAGTAATATCTACCTGAAGATGTCCCATCTCGAATAATTCATTGCAGAAGTAACACGGGCTGTCTTTAGCATTACCGGCATTACCGGCTCTAACAGCATCTTTATCCAAATTTTTCCTGGCCAAACTCATTTTGCGACCGATCTTTAAAAACAAATCACAATAAATCCACCAATCACATTACAAACAAAAAAAAAATCACAAAAAATTCGCACTAAAGAAACTCCATGATCCTCATTTGTAATATAGAAAATGAAATTTAATCGGATTACAATTAATATTTTAAAATCTGTCTCGATTAATGTTTTTGGCGTGTTTCAGATGAAAATATTTTGTATCGCACGGACGATGTAGTTCATACTAATCTGTATGGGTGAATCATATCTGGTGTTATCTGGGCAAGTCACTGATACCTGATACTGGGCGTAACTGATAAACAACGCGTCAATACCACTGCACTAGCACCACTAATAAATACATGAAATAAGTAATAGACAATATCATATACATTACTCAGATTCCGAAATGAAGCCTATAAAAATTATAATGAAAAATGTTCTTTATGAAAATGCTTAAAAAATCCACACATTTACACGCATATTTTTTAGTATAGCATTGTGGATGAAAAATTGATCAAAAATAATAATTATAACACATTTTCATCTTTATCAAAAGTTTAAATATTTGTAAAAATATTTCTTTCGGCTGTTTGGGTGGATTACCTGAACATTGGTGAAAATACGCTCTGTAGTAACGAAGAGTAACAAGTGCTTGAAGGATTCGTCAGTCCTGTTAGGTCCTGCGTAGCTCAGTGGTTAGAGCAGTCGCCCGGATAGCGAAAGGTCGTGGGTTCAAGGACCATCTCAGGGTGCCAGAGTTAAAGTGGATTTTATAATCATTTTTCATTAAGAATATTTTTCAGTGTATATACTAACCAATAATAAGATCTGATTATTGGTTAGTATTGAATAGACTCAGTACTAGTGGACAGATTGTAAAAGTTCTTTCACCTACGGGACTCTACATCATACGCAGGTGACAAAGGCTATAATTGAAATCGAACCTGGAACCTCAACGATGCCCAAAACTTGAAACCGTCATGGAAGTTGTTGAAGAATCTTCAAGTAATTTGTTCACTTATCAGACATCGTCTTTAATTTGCCATTTTGCCTTCGTCCATTTCTAAATTGAAATTCCATATCTAAGTGATTTTTTGGAAATGTTTTAAATGTCGGATTCGATTAATTTCGTAAGTTTCCAGGAGTCAGCAGCAAATGAATTCTAGATTTATATCATTACAAAGAAGGGCGTGTAGCCTAACAATTAGGATTAATTACATACACACATAACAATGTCGATCTGTTTTTTTTTTAAATATAAAAATAAAACTACAAATTCACAATATTTTAACGGGACGCCTTAAAATTAATAAATACGAACACTATACTGAACTCACAGATCCGCACTACACTAACAACTAACTAATATTTTAACTATATTATATTAACTAATAACTAATATCATACCTGTCCAAATAAGTGACAAGCCTCGTCCACAAACACCAACTTAATCGAAAAATAGACAAAATTCTAATTCAATCGTTTAGGTATTAATCACTTAAATATTAAGTTAACTAGGTAAGTACTTATCGACTTAATATGTGTAAACCAACCATAAGACTTAGTCACAGCAAAGCGGCGATTGTAAAAAAATAAGGAGCCTCCTTTGGAATTATTGTTTCTGGGTCGTGAAATATCGAACGGTTTAGAAACCACATCTTGCATACTGTACACATACATTTTAGCTTTATTATGAAGTCCATAATATGACCGCATTCAAAACAAACAGCATTCATTCAGTTGCACAAACGTCAATAAACATTTAATTACAACTTTAATCGCTAATGAAAGTTCTAAAATTGTATCGGTAATGTCGCTTTAAACGAACGATAATTTTAAAGGACGCATGTGCAAGTGATGGATGATAATTTGCCGTGACAATATTAGTAGGCGTTATGATGTGATAAACAGTTGATGATTTCATTTAAATCTCAGAGGACTAGGGTTCAGGTCCCAATTCGGTCAATCTAGAAATGAACTCTTCTATATTGTATCGAGTCTGGCGGTACCTTCTTTGTTTCGTATTTTATTATTACAAGTGCTTTAACGACATAACTTAGGAACTAAACGATAAATGTGATGTTGTCTAATAATTATTATTTACAATATGTATGTACATAAATATAACATTAACTCATAGGAGTTAATGTCACGAATAGTTGTGTACAAAACTTTAAATGAAATCTTAAAACATTTTGTTATATATAAATTCGACATTAAATAAAGTTCAAACAATTCTCGGCCCCTTCTTTTACCAAAACGTAAAGTGGCTGTCTATATAAAGATTGCTCACTCTCTGCTAACACTTATAAAATGCCACTTGCACTTGCCAAGGCAAACCTTACATCTGAATGAGGTTTTCTGATGAGTATAACCCACTGTTTTGTATTGCATCGCTACTTATTGAAAAATATTGTTAGTTTTGTAAATGACAAAATGTCGTCTGTACTATTTTAAGTACATGTTTCCATTTATAATGTTGCTTGATAAAATATTTATAAAAAAACATCTTATAATGTATTTAGTTTAGTAAACATCCGAAAAATGTAACTTAAAAAAGACATCAACGCGCTACCTGCCACGAATACCACTTTTCTTTTTTTTAAAGGATAAAGAATCCGTATTTTTGTTATTGTTGTCCTAATATGTTTTTCTGTTATGAATAAATAACTAAATATAAAATCCAACTTTTTTTTCAAAATTAAAATACCTCAAATACGTCGTCACAGGTGAAATGGTCAATTTGCGCCTATTTCTAATCTTAAAAAATACTAACTTCTGTTAACATTATAAAAATTATATGTTTGAGATTTTTATAATCTTTCATCTGATTTCTTACGAATATGATCAAAAATGTTAGTTCGTTCTTAAGATTTCTTGAGCACAAACCAACATTTACACTCCGAATTCTGGGTCATCAACTGTTATACTCAATATAGTAGGTAGTTATAATAATTATTTATTTTATTTTAGCTATGTCTATTCACAGTCGTAAAGAATAAAGCCGTGACGTTTCATTTAAAACAATATCTACCTACTCAATAATGTACAGTCTACGGTTCTACAATATGCAAATATTTATTCATTGAACTTCATGACCACGTAGTCTTTGTTAAATATTTAATTAATAACCTCAAAACGAGGTAATGATTGCGTTAAAGCGACGATCAACTGTAACGGCCTCGCGTTTGCGTAAAGAACGTACGTTTCTTACGACTGTATCAAAAAATAAGAAAGTTTATTTTTTCTCGTATTATACTTTTGTCTTTACGCACGACCTTGCTATGGCCTGGGAATAACTACTTACTTTATTTTGAGATTTATTTATTTACCAATTATTACCTCTAAATTGGTAATTTGTTCTAATTCACCATTTCTCGAAGTAGATTTACCCAAAAATCGGTGAGGTGTATTGAATGTTTATGGAAATCATCGTATAACTTCTACATATCTTTGCCTTAAATTGTTTGTTCAGATGCGCGCTTACGCGTGGTGTTTGAACAGAATAAGTGTTTTTACATATATTTACTTCATACAAATAACACGATGAGTACCTTCTAATAATTAAGACGAACAGCCAAAGGAAAAATATACAAACTGTACCAATTAATCGATACAGAATTGAGTGGTTGATGAAATGACTTTCGTCCATTTTTTAATTAATTTAAATGACAAAGGACTGTGGTGGAGTCCTTGTGGTGGTTTCTGGATCTTCAATAAATCGAAAATCTGTTTATAGTTTGTTATAAACATCGTTCAGCAGGAAGCCTAATAACATGAGAATATATCAGAACAGTTTAGAAAGTTGTCCTTATGATCTCGCTACGGCACTTACAATAAAATCCAAAAATGTAAATTGGATGTTCTACACAATGTTAAGTTGCGGCGAAACTTAGTCAGCGCGATGCAGGTTTAGCGGCGCCATCTCGTGAGTATTCGATGTAACTTGAAGGTTCCATCTTGCTGCCGACTGTTGTGGCCATTTCAGCAATGTGGCTACACCTGCACAGCATTTCTAGTGATTAAGTTAAGATGGAATATTTTGTTTTTTTTTTACTTTTTCACATACAACTCAATAAACGTATGAAAAACCACTATTTCTGCCATTTAAATATGCACGGTTGTTTGCGATTTTCTAATATTATTTATAAAAATATTTAATTAATCGACCATTTCTGAAATATATAAATTTCAAGTCCAAACAGAAATAAAACAATAAAAAGTAGTTTTGTATGTAAAATAAAATAAATTTGCTAACAACACCTTAGAGTTTTCATTAAAAATGTATTTTATAGTTAAAAACCAGTAGTTTTAAATGCAAGAATATTAGTTATTTAAAAAAAGAGGGGAAGAGAAGGCAATGGACACAGTTTTGGGAAAATGGCTTACTGGAACCGGGCCCTCATTGAGATTATTGAAAATGAATTCAATTCATATCTGCTCAAAGTGGAGAATACTGATAGCATATAATAATAAAAATAAAGTTTGTTTATCTGGTAAAATAAAATTTCGAATTAGTTTTATAAAATCTTGCCCCTTTATAATATTAATGTTTAAGATATAGATAGGTATTCAAATATTGACTTTATTTTGAAATTCGGCGGCATCGACATTCTTATTATTTTTCCACACCACCCGAGTACCTATTCTCTAATCATAAATAACATTTTGTATTAGAACTTACGAAACCAAATTCGTACATGAGATAGTACTTTGAAACTTACGTAGTTTTTAACGTGTCTGCTCGTTTTCTATTTAGACATCAATCACTAGAAAATTTATAATAATAATAACATAACGTCAAAAGAACGTCTAAACACTCATTAATATCCAAATTTGTCCAAATAAGCTGAAAATAAAAAGAAAAGAAATATGATTGGGTTTTTGGGTCGAAAAGTGGTTGGATTTTGTCACGTTTAATTTGTCTTTATGAGATTTTATTAATTTAAAAAATAAATATATTCAGACTGAAGAATAGACCCTCTGCGCAGGCGCAACGTCGAGTGTCAGTAAAAATCTGCTTTACTATACCAAACAGCAGTAATACGTCGCCTTTCACGGAGGAAGGACGTTCGGATTTCTCATAGAAATAAACAAGAGTTACGAGTTACATTTTATAATATCAGACCAAAGTTTATTGATCTGTGGTTTGTGTTCAAGTTATTGAATTATTTAGTGGAGTGACATAAAAGTTAATTAACTAGAAGGATTGTTAGTGTGAGTATATACATACATTTTTTTATGTATTTGGCAATAATATGTTTAAACTT